ACAAGCTCAATTTTGATTGATATTCTTAATAAAATCATAAAATTAAAATGTTTTTAAAATAAGATGTAAAAAATTTGAATATCTAAAATTTCAAAACATATTTTTTTAAAAAATAATTTAATATTATATTTTATAAATTAATGATCATTTGAAAAAACATCGTACTTAAACAAACAAAATGAGATAGAAAGAATAATATTTTGTTCCGCTAATTAACCTAATTTTAAGGGATTTGCCTATTTTTTCCAAAGTACGTCGCCCCTTCATTATTATTCAAGCAGTGACCCCTCATGACATGCATAGCATCAAAACAACATAAATTGGATCCAATAAATTCAAGGCTAGCTTAAACGAAGGCTGACCCATCACTAATTTATATTGGGACAAAAATGGTTTTCAAAAAAATTTGAAAAAATAAATAAAGAAAAGAAAAAAGAGGGCCATTCCAATTCGCAAATTGACAGATGAATCAACCTTCAAAATTTTAAGATGTGAAGTCAGTTTCGGGTAGTAAACCAATGTTCATGTACATGAAACAACAGACAACTAATGTGACATCTTCTCGCATATATAGTCATGAATTGGCCTTTCGAAGAACGAGATTGATTATTACTGCTTTTGATTTAAATCTATTAACTGATGGTGAAGCTATTATCCATGAAATTAAAGTAAAGCACCAGTCTACACAATAAAAAGATACACTTCCTTTTTTTTTTTGTTGATCATCAGAAGAACAGAGGAACAATAAGTGATCAATTATTACTACTAGTAGCTGTGCAAAAATAAATTAAAAAAAAAAAAGTTATCTGGCCTAACCTGATGGGTCATGCAGGCTGAGGTGAGGGTCTGTCCCCAAATATATTTCTGTTTTGGGGCTTCAATCTTCTTTTTCATTATATCTGACTTTTCAAGTACTAGTTAGTATTATGAATTACCTGATGGTTATTTTCTAGGGTGCTGGGTGGTCCATATTATTATTATTATTATTATTATTATTATTTGTTGCCATTGTAATATTATTATTTTCTTCATTGGTGGATGGGAGTTTTTTTTTTTTTTCTTTTTCTTGGTTTGGCGCATTGGAAAGACTAGGACGCTTTTATTTCTTTTTTTTTTTTTTAACATATGAAGTTATTAGTTATTAAATATTTATCATTAAAATTAAAATTTTAATATTTTATTAAATAATCAGATCGTGCTACTGTAAGCAAGAATTTGTTATTAGAACTAGAAAGATTTTTTTTTTTTTAATTCTAATTTATCCTTAACCCCCAACTCTATTTACTTAAATAAAAGATATATACACATACATACGAGCTAGAGTAATCAATACATTACGGGTGAGCATACTGTTCTTGTTTTGTACTAGTGCGTATCGGCTGGTGTTTTTCTGTATATCATTTCGAGTTTATTGACGCTAAACCCCAAACATATTTTAATTGCACACGTTGATATGTTTATAGGCGAATATAAATTTTAAAAATATAAATATTTAATATTCAAAATTTTTAAATGTTGAAAAAAATAAATATAAAAATATTAAAAATATCGTAAGTTATTGTCTAATAGTCTGATTTAATAAAATATTTTTTGAATGAAATTATAAAAAAATAAATATGATTGCGAGAGACAAAGTATTACAAATTGATTAAAAGGATAAAATAGTGAAAACATTAAAGAAAGAAAAATTTTGTATGAATCAGTACATCGGTCTTCAGCGGCGGACCACATTATAAATAGAGTGCTTATCGATATCTTAAAAATAAAAAAATAAAAAATTTTACAAGAAAAATTTTTCTTCAATATCTTCAAAAGCTTTTTATGAATATTATTTCATCGATAAAATTAATAAATTTATTATAATTTTTATATATTATAAATAAATATTTTTATAAAAAAATCTTTAATTTATTGTAAATTATATTAAATCAAATGATCAAATCAATATAAATTGATCCAAAAGTAAAATGATATATAAACTTAAATATTTCATTTTCTTTTTCAAAATGGATACACAGTATTCGATTAGCCAAAACCAATACGGTACCAAAAACATTAATACAAGCTTTTTTTTTTAAATTACAAATACAAATTATAATAATAATAAAATATTATATCTAAAATTGCTGAATAATCAAATATATAGGTGATTGGTGCAGGACAGGATATGGTATTTTCGAAAAGGATCGCGGTGAATTGACTGAAATGCCATCCTTGGAATGAAGTACTGGTTGAGTTTCCAATTGAGAAAACCCGGAAAACGAAAAAATCCAAAGCAAACGAAGCCCAAACCAGAACTTTGGTTCGTACAGCAAAGGTCACTCACCGTCGTCTTCCCATGCACATTTAATGTTGACAGTTCTCTCTCTCTCTCTGTCTCTCAAAAAGAATTAATGGGTTTTTTCTTTTCAACCCTTTTGTTTTTAACGAAGAAATCAAAGAAAAAAGTCAGTTTACTCGTTGCTTAACACTTTGCATCACTTTGGAACAAGGCTTTTGCCTTCCAAAAGAGCTCTTTCATTTCATTTTCTAAGTTTTTTTTTTTTTTTCATCTTTATAATGGAAAGTAGTGTAAAATTTGAATAGCTTTGTGAATAAATGAAGAAAAGGTTTCTAGATAGCTATGAAAATTACGAGTTACGAAGCTTCTATATGTTTACCATCAGTAGCGAAAACACGACTAAATCCAAAAAAACAAAAAGTTCTTCCTCTTAATTACTCAATAGCTCTATGTTCATAAAGGGGAATACATACAATAAATTGAGTGAAAAAAGAAAGATATTTTCATCCACTGTAATTTGAGTTTTTGACTTTATAAGTAAAATTAATAAGATTATATACATATATATATATATCTCAATGTATATTTAAAAATAAAATATTAATAATTTTTTATTTTGTTTATAAATAATTTTTGTTTATAAATAATTTTACTTACAAAGTTAAAAAATTTTACTATTAATATGTAAAATAGAAACTCATAAAAAAAAGAGGTTTGGATTTCTAAGTTGTAACTAATGAAGAGGTTTTTTTTTTTTTTTATAAAGTTTATATATGAAGTTGCATAATAATTTTTGGTGGCAAATTTCATAACTAACGATTAACGAAGTCCTTTAATATTTATGAAGAAAAATTTTTTATGTTTTTAGTAAATTTCTAGGATATATATTTTGCACGTTAGCGATGACAAGGATCCCACTTGATGACGTGGATAGAGAAGAATAAAGAGAGATGAGAGAGGTACCCCACCCACATGGCACTAATTCTCCCTTCCCTCAAAATTAATAAAGCCCCTTTGCATTTATAATAATACAAATAACAACATGGATCCCACTTGATGACGTGGATAGCCAGTGGCCTCTACGCCCCTGTGGATGTATTTATTGTTTATATTAATCAAGTCCCACCAGAATTATTATTTTAATTTTTTGTGTCATTTTAGAAAAACAGAAAGATCGTACGGAGAATGGATCTCTGTGAATACGGCTCATGCCCTGGGGTCCCTATGCTTAACTGTATTTCTCATTACCATTCTTTTTTATTTGTTTTTGCTTCTCTTCCTTTCATTAAAAAAAATTTCAAGCATTTAATTATTCCTATGATCATCATAATTAATAAAAATAAATTAAACTATTAATAACTTAACTTTTATCGTATTTTTAAAATAATCATTAAATTATTAAATTATCTTTAGTTTAATTATAAATTTTGAGTAAAAATTTTTACCTCTAATTATATATTAACATGATAATATCACATTAATTAATAAATATAATATGATATTAATATGTAAAAAATTTTTATTTTCAAAATTAATGATGTCATGTAGTGGCGGAGTTATAAGGTATTATGTTGGAAAATAAGAAAATTTCAAAAAGATTTTTTTGTGAATACTTGAACAAACTTTTTGGATGTCACTTTCAAAAATAAAATTTATCAATTCAACAATAATGATTTTTTTGGATGCAAACGCTTTTGAATAAGAATCTACACTCTCATATGGTATAATAGTGTTTTTTTCTTTTTTGTCTAATACTTATAATATATAAAACACTATTATACAATAGTGTTTTATATATTAGAAATAGACAATTTTAAAAAAGGTTTTAGATCTGTCACTAATTTCATGATGGTAAAATTATATGACATATCAAATGATATAATAATATCACGTAATTTTTTATAATTGATATATTATTATTATATCAATACATTATTAAAAATTACGATTAAGTGATAAAATATATTTATTTAAATTTTAATGATTATATTAAAAAATTTAGTAATTAAGAGCTCATTTTAAACACAAGATCATAATTAAATGATCAATGATATATTTTAATCATTAATAAATGACTTTTAAATTATATATATGCCGTCAACTGTATTAGTCAACCCCTGCATTAGGTGATACACATCATCATTTAGGAAAATAACAAAAGTCCCAAACTCACTTAATTAAAAAAAAAAAAAACCTTTCTTTGATTTTTTTTTTTTATAAAAACTTAGATTTTGAGTGATAGAATTATATTTTTATAATTATAATTATTATAAAATAGAAGGGCCGGGTGGCGCCGTGTTCCCCTCTAACACCACAATTTATATATTAATATATTTTAAGAATTCGATAAATACTCTTTCCCTCTTTTTCACTGCCCAATTCTGTCTGTCTTTGATAAATAATTTATTTACTAATATATTAAAAAAAAAATACTTCTTGACCTTTTTTATGGGATGCTCTTTCAACTTTAAAAATATTCAATTTGCAGGTATGTCCGTACTATTAATATGATAATTTTAAATATTATATAAAAAAATATAAAATTATAAAAAAATATATAATTTAAAATTGATAAAAATTATATATAATTTTGATATGAATAAAATATGTAGTTTTTGTAAATAGAAATAACGAAATAACGTTTGTATTTTATACAAAATAAACATGAATGAACAATACAGATGTCCGAAAAACAGTGGACGAGAATTTGCTTTACAGCTGCATTTTATTTAAGCAAAAGGTGAGAGAATAAGATTTAGTGAGGGGGATATAATCGCACGTAAAAATCAAGTTTAAAGGCTTTTGTGAGTTTTTAAGCATTTTGTTAATTGAAGCAAAAATAAGCCAACCAAAAGAAGGAAAAGAAGCGGGTTTTACGGGAAAAAGTCTGTTGGAACGACACGTGGCGATGGACTGACCGTTAGATGGAAACCTGAAGGGGAGCAGGCAACGGTTGATCATTGGATATTTGAGATGACATCCCTTGGCCAACGAAGAGTAGACTGAAATGAAAGAGAGAGTGTAACTAAACTGTTTATAGATGGAAAAGAAAGAGAGGAAAGGGTGAGAGGAAGTTCTTTTTTATTTATTTATTTTAATTTTAATTCTCAAGTATAATTTTCGTTTTTCTTTTTTTGTCTTTTCTCTTTTGGGTGTTGGTTTGTTCATCAGAGAAAAAACCTGCAAGAAATCAGAGAAAGATGGGTTATGGGAAGAGACTTAAATTGGGTTAGCAGAAGAGAGAGAGGGAAAGGCATGGCGGCGTTGGCAGAAAAGAGAGCTGTAAATTCTTGGGTTGTGTCTTAATTAAATGCTTTTGCAACAACAAGAAAAACAAGTTGAAGCCAGGGCAGAGGGCACGGGCAAAGCCAGCTGCAGCAGCAAAACGAAATTGTCAAAGAAAGGAAAGGGAAGGACTTCGAAGACTGAAGAGTGAGAGATCACTATATTTGTTGGAAGTAACTACTACAGAACCTGACGTGGTGTCCTCTTTTATTAATCCAAAACCAGCTTTTTTTCTTGCAATTAGGGACACCAACGCCAACAAGAAAACAACACAAAAAAACTCAGTTTCAGTTCTTGTTTTGGTTTTTTTGGGAAGGGGGTGGTGGTTAAGTTTAATTATTAGATGATAGTATAAGCATAAACACGTACAAAAGGAGAAGAATTGCCAATAGCCATTTGGAAAAGAGTACCCATTTGGAAAAATTGGGTTCTAAATCAAAAGAGAGAGGGGAGTTTCTGATATGGATTGTCAGTTACAATTGAGGTCTGGGAGAGGTTTAGAGGAGGAACAATGGCTGGGATTTTCTCACTAGGAGCAAGAGGAAGCAACAGCCAAGAAGATCACCAAAACAATCCACCAACAGAAATTCAACCCGAGAGCTGGTTTTGGTACAAAAATGAGGACATTTCTTACAAGGGTTTTGAACTATGGCAACAACAAGAACTTTTCCAACGCCACCACAACAGCAGCAATAACCCGCAAGACCAACAACAGCAAGATCTTTATTCATCAGCAGCTGTGTTAGGAGTTGGACCTAGCAGGAACTCAATCAACGTCTCTGATGATTCCTCCTCGAGATCGGCTTTCATGATGATGAGAAGTAGTAGTGCAGGAAGAGGAGGAGGAGGAGGAGGAGGAGGCATGAGTTGCCAAGATTGTGGTAATCAAGCTAAAAAAGATTGTCTTCACATGCGGTGTCGAACTTGTTGCAAGAGCCGAGGATTTGATTGCCAAACCCATGTTAAAAGTACTTGGGTTCCTGCTTCCAAGCGCCGTGAAAGGCAACAACAACAGCAACTTCAGCTTCGTGGAGAGAATCCCAAAAGACAGCGAGAGAATCCAACATCCTCTTCTCTTGCCTGCACTCGTTTACCCACAAACGCGTCTGGTACAGTTTTTTTTTTTTTCCTTTGGGGTTGTGATTATCTTTTAATTAAACTATATACTTTATGTAATATCCTCTCTCTTTGAAACATTCACAGTCTCAAAGATTGACTCTTTTTGTAAGAATTAGGAGGCAAATATTTCTAGAAAGAGATAAGAAACTTGTGTCCAGGAAAAACAAAAAAAAAAAAAAGTTAAAAAAAACACATATCATTTGCGTGTAATGAAATCGACCTCCATAGTAAACCCCCCATCAGCTTTTCTTTTCATCTTTTCCTTTTACAAATACTGTTTTTTAGTAACCATGACGAGAGTTTCGACAGGGAAGAAACTTTTTTTTCCCTCTTTCTTTGCGTCTTCTCTCTGTCTACCCCCGTGTTGATATTTCTGTATAACCCGATTGTCTTGCTTGCATTTCGGTCCATTGTTTTTCGCATATAATCAAGGTAACCAACTAAATGAAGAAAACCCATTTTTCTTTTTCACTTATCCAATCTAATGAAGGATTTGGTTTTCTTTCTGTTGATGTTTTGTTTTCACTTTTAGGGTTAGAACTGGGGAATTTTCCGGCAGAAGTGAGCTCTCAAGCGGTGTTTCGGTGCGTGAGAATGAGTAGCATTGAAGATGCTGACGATCAGTATGCTTACCAGACGGCTGTGAACATTGGAGGGCACGTTTTCAAGGGAATTCTTTACGATCAAGGCCTTGATAGTGGCCATAACAACATGGCAGCAACAGCAGGTGAGAGTTCTTCTGGTGGTGGGGTTCAACCACTTAATCTTATCACTGCTGGCCCTACCGCCGCCACCAACATGGCTGCCATTGCAGCTAACGCCAGTGGCGGTAGTGTAACTGCTGCTGCTTCTTCATCAACCGCCGCATATTTAGATCCTTCCTCTCTATATGCAACTCCACTCAACACTTTCATGGTTGGTACGCAGTTTTTCCCAAATCCAAGATCTTAAAAACACACCCCACTGTCTTTTTCTTTCTTCTACGTCTCTTCTTCTTCTTTTTGTTTCTTGTTTCTCTGATCTTGTCAACTTTCTTGACGATAATGAAGTACTACAACATTTGATACCCACCATTGAAGTAGGGAGTTGTTAAAAGGGTTAAAGGAAAAGATGGGAGAGAGAGAGAGAAATACGGAAATGCAGGAGATGTGTTTTTTTTTTTTTTTTTGTGCAAATTTGAAATGCTTTTGGTTAAAATCATCAATATAAATTCTTCTTCTTCTACTACCACTATTGCTGCGTCTTTTTTCTATATATTTTCCATCTTGAATGAAATCTAAAGCTGTTTTTGTACGAAATGTGCACAGCATGTAGAGTGGCGAGTGAGTGTGTTTGTTAGAAAAATATTTAGTATTAGTTTTGTGAGAGTGTGGGGTTTTATATTTTAGTTGAATTATTTCGAAATTTCCATTCCGCTTTCTGTTTGGTTTTCAACTTGGGGGAAGCTGCTTTTTCCCTGTTTACCCGTATGTTTGCCGGTTTCAAAGGTGGACGAATATTGGTTTCTTCTTTGGTTGGACAAACTATAAACACCACATCTTTTTTCCATATCACGGTATGGGCGGTCCAGCCATGCATGAATGAAAGAGCATAGCTAGCATTCAAGTTCAAAAGGTGAAACATAAAAAACCTCCCTCTCTCTCTCTCTCCCCTCTCTATATTTTCATGTGATCATCATCGTCATCATTTTATTCAATAGAATAGACGTACATTGCATAGATGTGACTTAATTTACTGATAAAATGGGAAATATTTCTTATCATCTGCTCTATGTTTAATGCCTTCCTGCAACAAACCTATTGTTATTATTGATACGTTACAGTGTTATTCATTTTCTGCATTATTCTTATTTAATAAGACTGTTTGTTTCTAATGGAAAGTCAGGAAAATTGAAATGTGTGACTAAACAGAAAGATTGTGAAGCTTTTCGCTTAAACTAACAACATTTTCTTCAGGCTTATACTGTTCTCTTCTTCTCACTTCCCGATGAGGGGAAAAAAAAAGAAGTAAATATATATATATATTTATTTATTTATTGTTTTGTTCCTACATGCTTTCTGGGATATGTTTATATAGCATGTTTCAATTAATGCTAACACATAATGCCAGCTGCTATGTACTTTCTTTCGTTGTTTCATTGCTAATTACTCAGGGTCTGTCAGAATGCACTCTCTTAACTACTTTGTATGCATTCTAACTTAATTTGGACTAAAATTATAAAGCTGAAGCTCTTATCTTGACTAAAGTTTTAACTTAATTTCAATTAATTTATAAAGCAGAAGCTGTTAATCCTTTCTCTTTTTTCCTTCAATGGTTTTCTTATAGTACCAAATATAGTGTCACTGGTGGGAACTTCTTCATCACAATCTTTTAAAAGTAGAAATTGTTCACAACTGACAAAATATGTATGCTTTTCTATCTTAAAGGAATCTCACTCTAAGTACATCAGACAATCACTCTGATCGGTAAAACTGCCGTGGATTAGGATCTTAGAACAAGGATTAGGGTGTTTGACAAGTTAATAAAGAAAGCTCCATGAATCAAATATTACTTGACTTGAACTGATTTTGAAGCTGCATAAAGATACTACTGAATTAAACCAAAGCCAGAAGAGAGGTCTGTTACCTCCTAAAGAAGTCATATCATAGAAGCAAATGATTGGCTAACTCATCCTTGTACAAATTTATTTAAACTAAATTTACTTAAAAATAGAAAAAAAAAAAAGTAGGATGTTATGAAATGGGAAACTTTTTATATATTAATGGCATCTTAGTACTAGCCTGAGCTAGATATTTTAAGTTATATATAATTTGTTGAGCTGAAAATTTCCTTTTTAGATAGCTACTTTATCTCAATGTTTTTTATTACTAGACAGGAGTGAATATTCCAAACATATTGTAGAGTTGAAATTAAGAGCTAGCATCAAGAAATTGAAGCATAGGATCAGCTAATTGAACCATACATTTGTTGCATTGAAAATAGGAGAATGCATTGCTCTTTCACATTCAAGGAATAAGTAGGGTGCATTTGCAAGTAATATATATGTCATTTTATTAAAAATGGATGTAAAAAGCAGGCTTCTGCTCATGGATATTTAGTTTCAGTTGATGTTGATAGGAGAATTGAACTTAAAATTTTCAGATGCTAAGTATCTATTTGGATCTCTCTGGCACAGTGTATTAAAATGGAATAAAGTAGTCTAATTAGAAAGAAAATTTAAAGATTTAGCTTGAAACATGAATGAAAATTCAATCCAATATAAAGTGCTCCAAACATTATGTGATGTCAATATGTTCCTAAAATATTTTGTTTCTCTTTTCCTTGACCCTAAATTTTTTTCCATGTGTATGCTTGAGTGGTGGAAAGGAGTCGAGCCAATATTGAACCTAATGAGAGTTCTACTTGGAAGTAACAAATCCTAATACTTAAAAGAACATTTACTATTGATAGGGATAAGATATTCGGTGTCAAGTTCTTTTAAGAAGCTGTGTTGGTCTTTTTTTTCTCCTTAATCTAATAATTATTGGCTATGGGCTGTATAACATACAGAGTCACTATTTTTGATGATAGAGAACTCATGTAGCTGACCTGAGCAGTTAATTCCAAGACTTATTTGCGTTGTGTATGCTATTAATGCTTCAATATGAGATTGTTTTCGGTGTGAAGTATGCATTTTGTGTTGACATGAATGCTCAAAACTACTTGTAAAGTTGTAAATTAGCAGGAATTTGGTGGTATTAATTGTCTATGTAGCTGGGGAGCATGTAAACCCTAAAATTGGCTTTTGAGTGAACATATATCTCATTTTTTCTTTGCATGTAGGGTCATGAAGGGACTAAATTTAGTAGACTGTATATAACAGAGGGAACAAGGGGGCTACAACATTAGAATATTATCAAGAAAAAATTCAATCATATGTCATCTCTGTCTGATGTGTTTATAAGAAAAATAAATACTAATGGATCAATTGAAAGTGTGTTTGTCTTTGGAGATTAACGAATCCTTTTCCATATATTGGTTTTCCTGTCTAGGGTTGAAGTGGATATTAGTCTGGATTTCTTTGCTTCCGTACCACCACTTTGCATATTTTTTAGTTTCAAATGGAAACCACATTCTAGAACAGGAATCTTTTTCTTTTTCTTTTTAACTTTTTATTTGGTGAAATTGTTGGTATCTGAATGCGGTAGCCTATTGAAGAAATGCTTTAAATCTAAATATTTTGGAAGGCAGGTAGTCTGGTCTGATATTCTGTGAGTCATAACTTGACAAAAAAAATTTTCTATCAGTGCATACTTCATAAAATCCTTTGGATCTAAGCAGTGGTCTTACTGTGTAGCTTTTTTTTTTTTTTTTAAGCTTTATTACTATTTGCGTTCCTGCAATTGGTTTTATCTGTCCTGCAATTGGTTTTATCTTTGCAGCGAACATTCCTTCATTTAGACATGTTTTCCTGCAATTGGTTTTTAAGCTGTTGCATCCGAAAAAAAAAAAAAAAAAAAACTTAGAATATTCTTGGCATGGTTAACCTATTAGAGAAAACTTTAGTTAGACATGTTTTGATTATTGAATGGCTGCATCTTTCGTCTTATCTCATGTTTGTGTTAATTCAGAGGGAATTTTCCCACAACCGACTGCTATAAAACCAAGTAACACAGATGTTCTATCACATCTTTCCCTGAAAGGACTTCACAAAAATGAGGCCTAAAGAAAAATTATATCTCCCTTTCCCAATGCAAAAAGTATATTGATGCTATTTAACCTTTGAGTTTTCGAGTGTTAGAGACTGTCCCCCATATTTCCATGCTCGGCAAACTCTCACTTTTTCTCGGATTCTCATGTTTTGAGAGACCAATAAGGAATAATATTTATCTATCTTGTGCCACTTGTATGGAAAGCTCTCACTTCGGGTGGATTCTCCATCGACATTCTTTTTGTTCCAGAATTCATCACTGTCAGCAATTCTCTGAAAGAATATGGGAATAACAAAATTCTCTTACTTTTTCAGCTGATGTTTTACCCATCAGACTATTTAGTGCATTCACAATCAGAAACCAAAATTTTATTTTTATTATCTTAATTGTAATCCAACCCTAGTTCACTCGAGCAACCTAAAACTATAATCTACGTTACTGTTTAAACATGGTTTGGAAATTTAGACACTAAAAACATGCATGAATAACACGAGTGGAGATGTAAGAGGGTACCCACCTCAACATTTGTGAACTGTGACGTCCTCGAGAACGCCCTCACTTTGGGCTTAGCCATAGCCAACAAGTATGCGTGCGCTCTCCAACATTTTTGTTGATTTTTCCCAAGCTCCTTGTTCCAATTGTTCTTGACCCGACTTCGGCCATGTCCTGACGTTCACTATGCTTCCACAGGCATGAAAGAATAACAAGCATAGAACTGAGCCATGATTCGGCAGTGAAAGGGCTTGGGCAGTTTATAGTTTGGAGTTATATGTGAAGCCAAAAAAGTAAATTTATACGAAGAAACAAGCAGAGAAAGAAAGAGAAAGAACATCAATGATTAAGCACGTCAAACAGTAGTATTTGCTTGAATTGAAAGCCATAGAACAGACAAGAAGTCATTTACGACAACTGAGATTTGTTATGGCATTAAAGCACCGTAAGGATGTGTCGATATCTGCTGGGTACATGGTACCTAGGGTGTGGCCACTGGCCAGTGAGCAGAGAGATAAATGTGCTGCAGGAACAACAGTATCAGTTAATTTGGATTTGTGGGAATAAATTGGTGTGGTCCCAAACTGGCTTTTCGGTTAGTGAGTGTCTCAGCTCTGCTGATCCAAAAGCTTGGCTTTGCTCAGCTTGCTGTTGGAGAAAAAGCCCTATTGTGCTTGTGAGAGTGCAGGAGGAGTCAGTCTTTGGTGATCCTCTGGATTGGATGGGGACAGTCTTTTCTACATGGGGGAAAAATGGAAGAAAAAGGGAATCTGTTATGCAGCAAATTGGTGCAAGTTACATTCAAAGTTAAGAGTTATCCTTTTGTAAACCATAAATAAATGCTGACTTTTTTTTTTTTTTAAGTTCCTAATTTTGACTCTCCTTACACCTATCTAAGAATTTACCTGACTGGGAGATGGCATGACGTCTCGAACAGCGGCAACCTCCCAAGCCATCATGCCATTCGAGCTAAGTGCTCGTTGGCAAGGGATGTAGACTTGAGCATAATAACAAGCCAAGTGTTCAATCAGATCACTTGTCCTATTATACTAACTCACTTCATAGATTCAGTACGAATTTTCCATTTAGTTAAGAGAGCTATATTGGTTTTGAGAGTGAATTTTGGCCGAAGAGTTGAAGTGCAAATAAAAAATGCCAAGGAGATGGAAATTCACTCCGCTCTGAGTACCTCTTCTTATGTTAGGTGAAATAGTCTGAAATGTCATCCATCACTTAATTAGAAGACTTCCATGTGTATTTTTGCAGTAGAGAGTATGAACAAGTAACCACTTTTTTCTTGACAAATATTCCTATCAAAATTTTCTCTATATATATATCCAGAAAAAAGTTTGTAGTGTAAATATAAAAGTACAATATAAAGTTTTGTATTCTTATAGTTTGTTGTCTTACCTTTTTAATCAAAACCTTTGTTCCCCATTTGAATCAACAGACTTTTGATGCGACCGGCAAATTTTGCTTTAGGGTCCCAATCTTCTGTCTCTAAAATGTGGTTTCAATAGGGGCGCATTGGCATATGATAAGAGAACAGGTTTGAAGGATGTTTGCTAATGCTTTTTATAAAAACAATAATAATTATTAAAAAAAAAAAGTGTAAAAAGCTTCATAAAAGTGCCACAAACACTTTTGCCCCAAAATCTGCCTCTGGGTCTTGGAAACGACAGACATTTTAAATAGCATTATGTTGCCTCTTCTCGAGACCAAAAATCTAACCCCCCTTCATCTTCCAATTTGTCCAAAACTCCGAAAAACCAAAAAAACAAAAGGGGTCCCATGTTGGGATGGGAGCTGGTAAAGCTTAATGTTTAGAATTTTTGCTCTCAATATCAATTGTAGTATTTGTTACAGTATCGATTTGCTTCCATATTCTTATTTCGGAACGTTATAGTTATTTCCAAAGATTCTATTTTATTAGTACGAACAAAAATATATATATATATATAATTGGTGGATTCATTAACATACAGTCAGAAGCGAAGTTAAGGGAGGCTTTTAGCGGCTACTCAAAAAAAATTTTTTACATTATTTTATAGATCAATAATTGAATTTATTAAAATTAATATGCATCTTCCTTTCTCTCACTAAATTTACTGTTTGACTTCCCCTTTTAATTATTGTTTGTTTCGCCTCTGCATACAATAGACACGTACAATAATTTTCTCACTTTATTATTCACTCATCCCACTTATTTTTATGCCTACTCATACACCTTGCTAATTCTCATAATCTTCTCTTCATTTTTTAAACTATGACTTTCATTGAATCTGTCCCTCGTCTCCCGAAACCAACACCACGGTTTATCTCATTAACGCTTGAAATCCCACACAATTTTTTTTTTTTTTATTTTGATTTGAATTCATTAGAAAATTTAACATATGTATAAACTTACTTAAATTAATCCCAAATATATATATATATATATATCTTGACTAAAACCCACGAACCAATCACCACCCAAATCTTATAACCACGCAACCCTTACCCCTTTGCATAAAATCAATTGATAACTGGTCTCATTCACCAAAAATATCAAGACAGAAAGTCGCCTGTCCCTTGCAATAAGTTGGGTTTTTGGGAGATCTCTAATCGTTGACATTTGGAATTGGGTTTTGCTTGGCCCATAAGAAAATTTCCTGTTAATGGGTATTTCATATCTAGCCCATCAGGAAAAAAAAATAGAGAAATGAGAACAAATTTCCAACGAATTCCCTTCTCCGACTCTGTCGGATCTTGAGACATTCCAATTTGGAATGTTTCTGTTCCCTTACATCTCCACAAACAAAGCTTAATCTTCTCCATTGTTTTTTATCTTCAATCTATCAAAACTACAATATCAAAAACTGTCCTCGTAAAGCATTTTCTTCTCTCGTTTCCACTCAAACCAAAATGGGAATAGGAGGAAAGTATCGTAGTAACAAGCGTTCATCCTCAGTTTCATATGCATCAACCGTGACTACTGTAGTTTTTGTAACCTTATGTGTTTTTGGTGTATGGATGCTCACTTCCAACTCCGTTTCACCCCGACAAACAACCACCACTCGCACCGCCACTGACACCAATGCCGTCGACAATGCGGTTTCTTCTTCAAATGAAGAACAAACCTCAAAAAATATTAATGATGAGAAAGACAAAGCTGTCTTTGAAGATAATCCAGGCCAACTCCCTGATGATGCCATCAAACCTGACAACGATGGGAAGTCCGAGGATGATAAAGCAAGCGAATCGGATGAGGATACAGGGAAAGAAGGTGCAGCTGTTGAGGAGAACCAACAAGTTTTAGAGGGAAAAGAATCAGTTGAAGAGCAGGAGAAGCATAAACTTGGTGAAACTCAAATATCAGGGGAAAGTGTATTGACTCAAAACCAACAATCGGAGCAAACCAGCCCGAAGGAATTTGAAGAAAATAAGCAGACGAGAAATGAAGAAACTGAAAATCAAGAGGAAAACAACAATCAGGATTCAGAAGAAGATCAAAGTCAAAGTGTGGAAAAGCAACAAGGAAATGAGAAATCAAAGGAATGGCGGAATCAAGAATTGGATCATCTACAGCAACGGGGAGATAAGCAAAAGCAAGACGTTGAAAACAATGAGGAAACACAAGAAACAAAAATTGCGAAAACAAAGGAAGATAATCAAGAGACTTCGAAGAATGACGTTAATGAATTAGAAGATGATCAACAAAAGGGAAACAAACAACAAAGTCAAGAGCAACAAGAGTTACAAATGCAAGGGATTGCAAACACCACTTTTAGCGACGAAACTAAGGATAAACAGAAAGAAATTCTTAACGCAACTCAAACTGATACGTTCCAAAATTTACTTAAGACATCAACTTCGAATCAGGAGGCAACAGAGAAAGACACCCAAAGTGAATTTCAGAATCAGGAAACTCAACAACAGGACTCCCCAAAAGAAGAAAATCCGAATGACTCAAACTCGGAAGAGCCGTTAGGAAGTTCTATTCCAAAAGAGTCCAACGAGTCGAAGAAGTCCTGGAAGACGCAGAAGACTCAATCAGAGAACGAGAAGGAGAGGCAGAAGGACGAATCAAACGGTAAAGCGAGCATCTATGGTTACACTTGGCAGTTATGTAACGTCACTGCTGGTCCTGATTACATACCATGTTTGGACAACGAGAAAGCATTGAAGAAATTACATAGTACCAGGCACTTCGAGCATCGGGAGAGGCATTGCCCTGAGGAGGGTCCAACGTGTTTGGTCTCACTCCCGGAGGGATACAAAAAACCCATCTCCTGGCCCCAAAGCAGAGATAAGGTAAGATTGAGTTAGACCCATCTGATTGTTATGATTGTACGCGGGGTTGTAACTTGTTTGTTGTGGTTTGGCAGATATGGTACCATAATGTACCACATACGAAGCTGGCTGAGGTGAAAGGGCACCAGAACTGGGTTAAAGTGAGTGGTGAATTCTTAACTTTCCCTGGGGGAGGAACCCAGTTCATCCATGGCGCACTCCACTACATCGACTTTCTGCAACAAGTAAGTTCCAAACGGCCCCATCTGTTTTAGATATCGACTCGATTATAATTTGGAATCAGTTTCAATTGCAGTAAAATTTTATTAGTTAAAAAAGGTTAAAGTGTTGCTCAATTCAAAATTAAACTTATTATTTTATTCGAATAAATATTTAACTTTTATAAGTGTATTCAATTTAGCATAATTTAACAGAAGTGATATATACGCATGTTAACTCTTTTAATAATAACATGTGATAAAAAAATATAATAAAAAATGCTAACAACAGATAAAAAAAAATCTGACTCATTAAAAAAAAAAATAAATAAAAATTTTTAATATTATTTTCATTTTCTTTTTCATTTTCTCTGTAAAAGGTTACTCTCTTTCTTTCCACTCTTTCTCTAGTTTTTCATTTTTTCTGCAACTAAGCACCCACGTAACCACCAATCTCCTCCACCGTAGGTCAATCTATCACTACCTTAGTGTCTTCCCTTTTAATTCTAGACAAAACATATCCAAAGAAACCCAATCAAACAAGAATTTTCTGAAATCAAAATATATCTGCAAAAACAAATTAATCCTTTTCACCCTCGTTTTTTCATCTAATGAAACCCCTTCTCACTACGAATCTCATGTCATGGGCATGAGCGTCTCTGCCTAAGCCAATTTTATGTGTGTCGCCGTCCAATCAGAACAGAACCTTGAGGAGCTATTTTAGCAGCCTTGAAGGATAAGATTTCAATACTGAAATTAAGTTTATGCTTAATGGTTAATTTTCTTGGTTGATTTTCTTTGTTGGATAACTTGTGTAGGTTTTGATTAATTTTCATTAATTTGAATTATTCTTCTGTAGATTGAAGATTTGAGAAATTCGATTAGATAAGATCAGGAGAGAATTGGATAGATTTTTTTTTAAGAAAGAGAAAATTTTTAATTAAAGCACACAAATTTTGTATCGTGAATAAAGCTATTAGAAGGAAAGGAAAATTACAATTAACAAAAAAAAAAGAAAGTAGATACTAAGAAAGATCGGTTAATAGAGAAAAGAAGAAAAAATTTGAAAGAAGAAAGAAAAAAAGGAGCCATATTCTGCATACTTATGAAATGATGGGAACGAGAGCTGGTAAAAAAAAATCTGAAACTATGGTAAACAAAGAAAGAATCTGAAAAAATTTTTTTTTTTCAAAAGTCAAAAATTTGTCTTTTAATAAAATTATTTTTTTTAATTATTATTTTGACCTTTTTCTTAGGTTTTGGGTGACATATCATCATAAAAGTGTTTGAGTTAGCTTGAATTTACTTATTTTACACGTTATTAAAATGCATGTCTTTCACGATTACATTTTTGTCAATAAAAATTTTATATTATTATGAATCGATACGTTTGATCTTTATTTATATAAAATAAAATATTTAATTTTAAATTAAATAATTACATAAAATTTTAATTTCAAATTAAATATTTAATCATTAAAAAATTATTTGATAATTACATTTATTTAAGGATAAATATTCTTAATAGTAAGAATTTTTAGTAAATAAGAATTTTTTATGATCAAATAATGAAACTTTATAAATATGGAGTGAATATTAACTTTTAAAATTATGAGAAAAATTATTTGATATCTAAATGGGAGATAGATTTATAAAGATGTGAAAAAAAAATATTTGAAAAAGACGTGATTGCATAGGTTGAAAGATATACCATAGATATTTTATAGATTATACATTAAAGAGTATGAAAATTATGATTGTTTTAAGGAGCTCGAGATTCTTGATTGTTTATAATGTTTTGTACTCTTTATTTTTATGTTTATAGTAAATTTTTTCTTTCATCCGTGAATGTAAGTAATTGAGTTGAATCATGTGATTTTTTTCATATTGATCTCATTGTGAAATTCGTTTTTGGTTAAAAAATCCTAACAGGTTGTATCAAAGCTAAGTTGCTAACATTTTCTTGTGAGCTAGCATAAAAGCTTTTTTTTATACCTCGATGTGTAAAGGGAAAGATTGCTAAAATTATTCCACATCGATTGTAAAATAGGATTTGTTTTGCAATTTATATTCATAAGATCATAGATATGCAAGAAAAGATGTATTGCAACAAGGCATTAGTTGTAGATAGAGTCAATAAGATGAAGTTGATTTGGCTATATATAAATATTAACCATCTTATGTGAGTCATATGAAGTTAACATTAGGGTTGGCAGTCTAATCCACCCCTGACGAGTTTCGATTTGACCTGACATCATAGGGTCGATTTTTTTTTTTTAAATCGAATTTCGGGTCGAGTCGGGTAATGCTAAAAAGAAATTGAGGTCTAATTGGGTTCGGGTTTTAGGTAAATCTTATCGGATCCGATATTATATAAAAATTATTTTTTAATTCTTTATTTATATATATTTATATAATTATATTTTTATATTTTAAAAAATAATATTTCATTAATTTTCAGTTGGATTGGGTTTGGATTTTATGAAAATGAAATCGAGTCGGGTTCGGAGAGAGCAAAAACTTGTCTGACCCAACCTGTTGCCAATCATAGTCAGTACTAATTTGATCATATGTAGTCATGATTTTTGAAATATTAATGTTTTGGTAGAATTTGTGTTAGGGTGGAGATTTGTTATATATTAACTTAAATTCTAATTGAAAATCAATTTGAATTCAAGTGAAATTCTATTAGTTAAAGAATTATTTGGTAATTAAGTTTATTTAAGGATAAATATTCTTAATAATAAGATTTCTTTTGTAAATAGAAATTCTTAGTGATCAAGTAATAGAGTTTTATAAATATGGAGTGAATATTAACTTTTAGAATTATGAAAGAGAATTATGTGATTTCTATATGGGAGATAAGTTTATAGGGATCTAAAAAAGAGTTTGCTAGAGAAAGACACTTGTTACATAAGATCAAAGATATTTCATAGCTTATATATGCTAGGGAGTATGAAAACAAGGATTATTTAAAGAACTCAAGATTAATGATTGTTTATGGTATTTTATATTTTTTGTAATATCTACATTTATAGTAAATTTTTTCTCTCATACGTAAATGTAAGCAATTGGGTCAAATCATGTTAAATATTATCTTATATAAGTGATTTTATTTCATATTGATCTCGTTATGAAATTTGTTTTTGTTTAAAAAATCCCAACACCATCAACTGATATACTTTTAGGAACCTTTCGTTTTTCTTTCCATTGAAACGCTGCAACGCTCATATTAATATGAATTTAACTTGTTTATTGATGTTCTGACTACATGCTGCTGCTTGCAATATATATGATATAGTACCTAGATTACTCGGAGTGAGTGGAGGTGAATGTTGGATTCGGATATGTGTTCTATGGATATGCCCTTTTTTTTTCAAAGGTTTTTAGTATATTTGGAGTGTTGGACATATATCCATACCCATGTTCGTTCGATATGTGTTGAACATCAGAGCTTCAAGCAAAATAAATGAAGAGTCGGAGCAACATAATATTGTATAATTTTCTGTTTCTTCACTCTTCGTTTGATCTCTTATTTTCAATTACTATAAAATTACAATAAAGATTTTTCTCTTTTTGCTTATGAATCTGCAATTATGATGTTTTAAATTCTAGACACTAGCTTTGTATTATCCTGAAATTTATAGTGAGGCTTAGAAATAAGATGACAAGAATGGGAGATTACCATATTAGATGTTGAGAATGAAGACAATGTTTGCTATTATGGTTGCAGTCAGTACCTGACATTAAATGGGGTAAGCACACCAGAGTCGTCCTGGATGTTGGATGTGGTGTTGCCAGCTTTGGAGGATATCTTTTCGATAGAAATGTTCTGACAATGTCTTTTGCCCCCAAAGATGAGCATGAAGCTCAAGTTCAATTTGCCCTTGAAAGAGGAATTCCTGCAATATCAGCTGTGATGGGTTCTCAGAGGCTACCATTTCCTTCTAGGGTCTTTGATATAGTGCACTGTGCACGTTGTAGAGTGCCTTGGCATGCAGAAGGTGGTTTGCTTCTGCTAGAACTGAACCGTGTTCTGAGACCTGGAGGATATTTTGTCTGGTCAGCCACCCCTGTCTACCAGAAGCTTCCAGAGGATATGCAAATATGGAGGGGTAGAACACAAAAAATTCATTCAATTCAAACAGAGTTTTAAGTTTACATTGAGCTAACATGTATTTGGTTTTGCAGCAATGTCGTCCCTGACCGAGTCCATGTGTTGGAAGCTTGTGACCATCAAAAAGGACAAATTGAATTCCATTGGTGTTGCTGTCTTCCGCAAACCTACCTCAAATGAATGCTATGACAAAAGGCAGGATAATAGTCCTCCGATGTGTAAAAATAGTGACGATGCAAATGCTGTCTGGTAGGTTTCTTCACATACTGTAGATGTTATGCACCATTAATCTGCCAAGTGTCAAGGTTCAACAACAGCTCTAGAAGTTATATGTGCAGTAAAATAATACCATACATTAAGTTTTTGCGGATACAAAGATCTGGTTGAGTAGTATACTGAAATGCTTGACATCAAGGTGATAAATTCGTTATTGCTAATGCTTGTTTTGTTTCAGGCATGTGCCTCTGCAGGCATGCATGCACCGCGTGCCAGTAAATCAGGCTGAAAGAGGGGCACGATGGCCTGCAAATTGGCCAGGCCGGCTGCAGAAAGCTCCTTACTGGTTGAACAGCTCGCAGATGGGGATTTACGGGAAACCAGCTCCTCAAGATTTTGTGAGAGACTATGAACACTGGACACGAGTGGTAAGAAAGCTGTATATGAGCGGATTGGGAATCAGTTGGTCTAATGTTAGAAATGTGATGGACATGAGAGCTGTTTATGGAGGGTAATGGCCGTTCACTTCTCTTTTGACTGTTATTAATAAATAGAGACATCAATTTCTCAAATAAGAAAGCAGTGCTGCAGCAGTACCTTTACACTATAAAAGGGTTAAATCGAAATTATATATTGGATGCGTGCAGGTTTGCAGCAGCTTTGAAGGACATTGAAATGTGGGTGTTAAATGTGGTGAACTTTGATTCTCCAGATACACTTCCAATAATCTATGAACGTGGTCTTTTTGGAATATACCATGATTGGTGTGAGTCCTTTAGCACATACCCTCGATCATACGATCTTCTGCACGCTGATCATCTTTTCTCCAAGCTGAAAAAGAGGTAAAATTGTAGGACAATTCCCCTTCGTCTTCTTTCTTCTTGAACTTCAATTAGAATAGATGTTTAGTAATTGATTGCATTTTCGGCGTTCACAGGTGCAAACTTGAACCGGTGATGGCAGAGGTTGATAGAATAGTCAGACCAGGAGGAAAATTGATTGTTCGTGATGAATCAAAGGCCATTGGGGAAGTTGAGAACTTGTTGAAGTGTCTGCACTGGGAGATTCATTTAACTTTCTCTAAAAATCAAGAAGGAATTCTCAGCGCTCAGAAAGGTGATTGGCGGCCAACAACGTATCAAGCTTCCTCCTAACGACTTTTTCGGCTGGCTCCAGTGACATTCACCATTTTTTTTCTCTAGAATTATAATCATATCATAGAGAAACACTGTAACTTGAAACGAGCAGAATTTATCAGGTTCAAGTAATCGATTCCTCGTTTTCGTTTATCAGGTTCAAGTAAACCCTTGAGCTGGATCTTCCTCCAGGCAACATTTATAGTTCTTCCATAATTTTGAAGGTTTCACCTTAGTCTTCTTTAAAGGGCTAGACTTTAATGTGATCTTATGCTTATCTTTAATTCTTTATTTCTTGTCTCTTCTCATAATTATTGTTGAGTGATCATTTTTAATACAGCAGCTACCTAAACTCTACATTACTTCATTCTTTGGGGCCCAAACAATCGATCTGAACGACAAATAAGGCACAATTTTTTTTTCTTTTTTTTATGACGAAGATCAGAAGAAGGCAGGGTCCTTTGAATCCATCTTTCCAGAGATTAACACAGCATCCCACTACCACGGCAATGCGCAATTTGAGCTGTCATCTGCATTGATGAGGATATTTAATGTGGCCACCTAAGCTAGTTACATAATAAGAACTTAAAAAAAATCATTTTGACCTTTTTTTTTTCTTTTTCGGGTATGGATTATTTAATTACTATTTTTAAAAATTGCATTTAATGCAATGCAGTGCAATCTTGTAAGTATTATTTAAAAAAATATATTGCACATAAATTAATAAAAATGTCAATTGTATTCATATCTAATGAAAATTTTAATTTTTTATCCAAATGGCAATGAGGATAGATATTATATTATAGATATGAAAATAAAAATGAGAGTAAATATAATTTTTAATTTTTATTGAGTACAAAGATGGGATGTCTATATCCTATATTTATATTTATATATATTAAGTATATAAAATTTTTATTAAATAATATAAATTATTATTTTAGATTAATTAAAATTAATATATTTTTATTTAAAAAATATTAATATATATTTATAAAAAAGTTATCTAAATATATAAGATAAAAATAAAAAAGCTAAAAAAATTTTAAATTTTAGTTTTTTTAAAAAAATTATTTGTACGAAAATTATCCATACCCATTAAATATTCGTAAAGATGATTATAAGAATAAATTTAAAATATTTAGTTGATATAAATACAGGATATAATATAAAAATCAAATAAGGAAGATGAAAAATATTTTACCTTGTCCATATTCTATTTATTGATATTTTTATAAGTACAAATTTTTTATAATAATATTATAAATTAAAAATAATAATTCAATTCATTGCCCACAATAACAACTGTACTTGGCTATAGGCTGCATAATTGGACATATGTTTGAATCATCTTTCTGTGTTGCCATCAATTCTGTTAGTTGAGAAGTAGGCATCGCCATTACAATTTATACGTCTACCTTAAAGACGATATGGGCTGTGGCTTCTAAATTGCAGTTTTTGCTGGACCAACTCACTTGGGGGAACTGGTCTTTTTGACCCAAAAAGCATATTATAGAGAACCTGAGGAGAAAACTTGACAAGAGCAAGAGCCAAGGCAAAGTAAAGTTTATTGAAGATCGAAAATAAGCGCGTCATGATGAGATCTGAGAAAAGCCTAGCTAGCTGGGGTGGCTATACCCTAAATAACGTTAATATTTTCGAACTCTCAAAATCAACATTCATGTCGTTGCCTTGTTCAAGAAGAAGCTATATTGATTTTTTATATGCACCCTACCCTAGCATGCTCTTTGATCTCTGTAGTTGGTCGATAAAAAGAGAGTATCGAGAATGCAGAACTCGAAAAAATCCGCAAGTCATTTGGCTGTGTCAAGATGCCATCGGCCAATGCTTTGATTCCTTAACCTAAAAGCTAGAGCAAAGCTCAAGTTGGCCAAAGCATGATTCATGAGATAAACAAAGAATTAGTACATTGTAATTAGAAAAAAAGACTTTAGTTTTATAAAGCAAAGAGATTCTTATTTGATTTAATCAAACATGTTAATTTAGAATATGAAGCTTGAGTTCGTGCGTATGTTATATATATATATATATATATATATATAATCCATCTCAATATAAATTCAAAACATATACCTATGAGTATTTTTATATTTGATGTTAATATTTAAATTTTAATTATTTAAATTAAAAATCTAATATTTTATCCGCTTGTTGACAACCTATAAGCATTAGTTTATACTATCAAGGAACCAAAACATGCATGGAGCATAGGATTTAATTTGTAGTTGACATTATTAATTTTTTTTCACCAAAGACATTGTCGATTAAATAATTAAATATTTAAGAATGTTTTATTGCTATGTTCGTATTATTTTATGTGAGAAAATATTCATGCGGTTAACATCAAAATAACTCTGATTTTAATGATTAGACAAAAAAATCTACAATTAACGAAACAATCAAGCCAACGAAAATATAATAAAAAAATTAATTAATCACATAAGAAATAATAATTCGATATGATTTAGCTTAAAAAGTTTATGTTCATGAATGAAAAAAAAGACTCATTAGTTATAAAAAAATTGTAAATGTATCAAAACAATAAATATTCACTCATAATCAATACCTATGACCTTTTCATTCTCTTTTGATCTTATTGAATATGTTTAACTCAAACAAATATATATTTATGTACACTTATCCCTATCTGAATTATCTTAATTTCCTCTAACCTATCCAAACAAATATAACAATTATCATACATATTTAGACTCTCTCATTTTCTTTTAATTCACTACAAACATTTAAATATACACACCTATAAAGATCATTGTAATATCTTCTAGTTCAAACATACACATTCATAAAAGTTTTTTCGATTTTCTCTATCTTACAATTTTTTTTATACTTTTTCTCATAATTAATCATATTTAAACTCATATTATTTATAATCATATAAACTTACTTATCAAAAATTTATTTTCTCTTAAAAATTTTCTTTTATAGGTGTTTTTATTTATAAACAATATTTAATCTACATAAAAAAAAATTCTCAAACAAGATTTGAGTCAATCCAACACACGCTTAGGCGTAAATGTTAGTGATGAATACGTAAATGGGTAAGATATTAAAAAAAAAAAATTGATAAACTTCCATATTTAGGGATTAAGAATTTAAGATATCACTTTCGAGGTCCCAAAGGTAGTGGGTCCCAATGCCATTTGAGGAGAAAGAAATAAATGCAAAACAAAACAACTTAAGACTAAAAAAAGTTGGAGATAAGATTCTAAATGATAAATATAACATAAATTTACTACTCTTATTTAAGTGGGTAATTTTATCATTGTAATTTTTAATTTGATTAAAAATAATTAAAAAATAAATCTTAAATAGAATATTTCTTTTTTTTTCTCATGAAATATTTTTTTATTATTAATTTTGTATTATTATCCTAAAAAAATTCATGGGTCTGGCTATTACGTCAGCCCTTAACTAGATACATTGATTCGATTTGAAATGGGATTGTCCTATGCAAGACAATTAATTAATCAAAATTTAATATTTTATGAGATTCATAAAAAATTTATGGAAGACCTATATTTTAAAGTGATAAATCATTACATAATTTTTTATCATAATTAATTAATTACAAGATTGCAATATAAATAATTATAAGTATAATACTCTCATTGAATAAGAGTGTTCATGGATTAAACTGGACTTCATTATAATATCAACATCATATAAATTTGTTCAAATTTAGTTTAACTCAATAATTTTGGTTTCAAATTTTATCTAAATTCGTACAGATAATTTCTTTAAAATATAAAAATGTTATTTTTTATTTAATTTTTAGTAAATTTGTATTTTTCTTTTATTAACTTTCAAAACTTAGATAATTTAACATATTTTTAAATATTTATACTACAATATTATGTATATTTATTTTTATATAAATATAAATTACATAATACATAAAAATATAACAATAATATATACTCCCTCCATCCCATTTTCTTTGTCCATATTTTTTTTAAGATGTCCTAAAATTATGTCTTATTTTTTTATTTTTGAATATCTTAAACTTTTACTTTTTATATTTTAAAATTATTTTTTACTTTTTAACATTAAAAACCATAGAATTTTAATTTTATAAAAAAATTAATTTTAATATTAGATATGTTAAAATCAATTTTTTTTAAATTTCGTGAAATTCAATATAAGACAAATAAATTGAAAGAAAAAAAGTATTATATAATAAAAATATATAATAAAAAATAGATCCAATTTGGACTTTAAATATTAAATTTAAAATTAAGATCCAACCTGCTTTTAAATGGATCGATGTTTTCATCCAAACTTAATATTTTTACTCAAAACTTCTCAATTATGCAACGAACCTCGTAGGTTAGTATTGAACTCATCCGTATTGAACCAAGTACATGCATGATTAGTAAACTCAGTCCCACTTAACACTACCAATAAAGACGCTTAAGGAAAAGGGGGTCTGTCGTGTACATTCATGTCCTGTCATGATCAAGGCAAAAAATGAAAAAAAAAAACCCTCGTCTCACACGTTATCAGCCAATGCTACCCTCGTCTCAAGATGCCCCTGTTCTTTTGATCAGAGTTCACTCATTCAACCAGCATTTGTAGTTACAAAACAAAAGACTTTTATCTCCCCTTTCCCGATATAGATTCCACCCTCTCTTCCTCTGATCTTAAGCCATTTCTTTATCATCTTCTCCTCTTCCTCTCTTGAAGATAGCCTATTTGTACAAAGCCCTTCGCCTACCTAGCTGCCCTACCTGCTCTCATCTTATTGTTTTCTCAGAGTACTTGCTTTAAGAGTTTCAAAGGAGAAAAAAAAAATGGGTCGTGGCAAGATCGAGATCAAGAGGATTGAGAACGCTACTAACAGGCAGGTGACCTATTCCAAGACAAGAAATGGTCTTTTCAAGAAAGCCCAAGAGCTCACTGTTCTCTGCGATGCTAAGGTTTCCTTGATCATGTTCTCCAGCACTGGAAAATTCCATGAGTTCATCAGCCCTAATATCTCGTACGGCACCCAATCCCGTCTCTCTCTTTCTCTTTTCTCTCCATAAATATATATGCATGAAAGAAATGATATGGTTTTTGTTTTTGTTGTTGTTGTAAATTAGGACGAAGGCGTTTTTTGATCTTTATCAAAAGACTACAGGGACTGATCTCTGGAGCTCCCACTATGAGGTTATTAATCTCTCTCTTTAATTTTTACAGTGCTTGATCTGTCAGCTTTTTGATATTTTTCTTGTGGATCTTAGTTTTATGCCTTATATGTTTTGGCAGAAAATGCAAGAAAACTACAGAAGGCTGAAGGAGATCAACAAGAAGCTAAGGAGAGAGATCATGTAAAGACAGTAGTGCTTTAATATATACCAAAGCTAGGGTTATTTTGGCAATGAAAGTTTGTTCATTTTTTTCTAGGTTTATGAAGTAAAGTTGATTAGGAATGGTTTTAGCAGGCAAAGGATGGGTGGCGAACTGGATGATCTTAACATTAAGGAACTGCAAGCTCTTGAGGCTAAAATGGATTCTTCCTTGGTGTTTGTACGTGACAGAAAGGTTTGAAATTATTGGACTTTTTGTTGTACCAAAAGAGGGGTATCTTGGGTTTTGGTTTCTCTTATATTTATATTCTTCAAACTTTCTTCTCCTACTAAGGTTAAATAAAAAAAAAGTTAGGGTTCTAACTGGAACGATCTATCCTTTGGCAAAAGCTCCGTTCAATTAATTAAGTTTTGAAAAATTTTTAGAATCAAATTGGCCATCCTCTCAACTTCTCCACTTCAGAAAGTTTTCATCATTTTGGTAAATCGAGCCCCCCAAAATTCTCCACTTTGAAAATGAGGGAAAAGAAAAACCCATGTAAAAACAGAAAGGGGTTCTTTATGTGTTTCTATATATGTAAAAACCCCCATTGAGGTTATAACTCAAATCATGAAACTAACAATATCAGTTGATTGTCCACAGTACCATGTCATTAAAACGCAAACCTACACACACAAGAAGAAGGTTAGTGAATTCAACAGCGTAAATAATCACCTTTTTTTTATTATTATTTGATTCAATTTTTCAACTTGTTGCTCATTTGTGGACTGGACTGCGCTGCTGCAGGTAAGGAACTTGGAGGAAAGACGTGCAAATCTTGTCTTCAACTTGGTATGAAACTTTGGGTTGAACTTGATACTTGACTTTCTTAAATTATCAAATAGTTAAAAGAATTTTAGATTTTAAAAGTGAGTTTTTTTTTTCCCATCTTTGTGATCATTAAGGAGACAAAGCTTGACCATCAGGATGGAATAGTTGACAATGAAGGATATTATGAAGCAGCAGCACTTGGGCTAGCAAATGGAGCCTCTAACTTATATGCTCTTCGCCTGTACCAAGGCTACCATCCCAATCTTATTCTTCACCATGGGGAAAAATATGGTTCCAATGATCTGCGCCATGCTTGATTGGTGGTTTTCGAGGACACACCTTCAATTTCAGACAATTAATCTATATATTATTAATTCTCTTTATTATATTACTAACTAATATATATGAACTAGAAAATAAATTCAGAGTTGTACCAAGTAATTTCTCTTGCTTGGTTAAAACGGTAATTAATGGCCTGAAATTAGCAAGATTTTCAGTGCTTTCTCTCTTTCTCCTTCTAGGACAAGTAAGAGCTGGCGTGTCCCCTTTAATGTAATATATAAAATAGGTTGGGTTGTATTGACATTTTATTGAACTTTGGCCTAATGATGCTAATATATATATATATATATATATATATTCTCATTTTTCTCATCCATTTTGACCTATAATTAGTGGGGTTCTTGATTTTGCTGAGAAAATTTGTTCAATATGAACATGTCCCTCACCGACCTAGCTATTTAGCATTTAGTACCAGCATGCTCTTAAAGCCCTCGTTGGCAAAATCTACTTTAAAAACAACGTACAAATACAAGTCTACAAGGAAAAGGTAGACAGACTTATGTGGTTTGATAGAGAAAATTATAGATTAACACGTCACGAAATTAAATAGTTTAATGATTGATTCTCCAATGAAAACGTTTGTAATAACACATCACATTCCTATAAAAAATATTTGGGGAATATCCCAACATTAGCCTACCATAATAATATCTCTGAACTAATTTTTTTCATTCAAATTTTTAAAAGGTATTTCGTAATATTATATATATATATATTATCTCGTATACATATTTGCTAATTAATAAATCCAATCTTATAAGATTCATAAAAAATAATTTTATTAACATCAAGGTATCATTAATTTGAAACTAAAATTGAAGATCAAATTTGAATCAATTCTTAAAAAAAAAAATCCATTAAGATTTTGCAAGATTTGTTAGAATTAACTTGCTACTCAAAAAATGATTTTAAAATCCAATGAGTCCAAAACAGCTGACTAGGAGAGTTGAGATTGGTTTAAAATCTGGTTCGAACCGGCCCAAAGAATTTTGAAACCGGAATCATTCTTTCATGAGGGGCCTGATTGTAATTTCACCAATTACAAGACCGTGAAACCGTTCCGCGCGACCTCGTCATCTCAGAGACTGACGCAGAGTGACGGCGCCTGAGAGTGCTCCCTCCCCACACACGCTTGTACACACACAATAAAAAAAAGGAAAAAAAAAAAGAAAAAATCAAACCTCATTTCCGTGGCGGATCCCTCAAGTCAACAATACAAACGAAAACTAAACCGTTAACCGTTAAATCTTTACTGTTTTTTTTTTTTTTTTTAATTTCTAAAATCATTTCCATTTTTGTAAATCCATCAAAAATTCAAAACTTGAAATTCCATGTCAGCTCTGGCTGCTTCGGTTTCTTCTTCTTCTTGGATCCCCGAAGACGATCTCTTATTAAAGAACGCTATTGAGGTAAGCACTCTCTTCTTATTTTTTACTCAATTTTACTCATATTTACAATCTTAAAAAAAAAAAAATTCTTTTCCATTTATCTAACCCTAAGTTTACTGCTAATAATAATAATAATTTGGTAATTGCAGTCCGGTGCTTCATTGGAAGCACTAGCAAAAGGTGCGGTTCGATTTTCACGAAAGTATACGGTTAGAGAATTGCAAGACCGATGGCGTGCTTTACTTTATGATCCTGTTATTTCTGATCGAGCATCGACTCGAATGATTGAGGTTGAATTATCGGCTTCTAGTTTATCTTCGAAATCAAATAAATTTGATAATTCTGTTGAAAATGGAAGTACCAAACGAAAATTGGAAAGCGTTAGAAGATTGTATTATTCTATGAGGAAAAGGACTTGTAACCAACTTTTAACAAAGTCTAGCGATGTTAGTTTTCTTGGATCACCGAATGATAATGATTGCATCCGTAATAGAGGCGGCTGTGAGGAGTGTGTACGGCCTCGTGAGGATTATGTTCAAAGCCAATTCGGATTCTGTGAATTAGGGATAGATAGCATGCATAATGGATCAAAAGAGGATGATCTGAAAGTAGCTTTGAAGAAGGATTTCTCTAGTGAAAAAGTTGAGAAGCTTGAACAGAATGATGTGCTTGAGGGGTCTCCTCGACTTGTTTGTCAGTCTTCAGTTGAATTTGGGCATCCATCTGAAGTTGAGGGAATCAAGCCTTACTCAATGGGATGTTCTTCGCCACAGCCACATCTGCCATTGTGGAAAACGATGAAAGATGTTCCAGTAACTGTGATGCCAATAAATGGTGAAACTGGTGATAAAGGCCAGGATGCAGAAGGTGAAATTTTGCATCCCAAAGATGTGGATGGTAAGAAAGTATGTGCATTTGGAAATGATGTTGTTCCTTCGGATATGATGTTAAAAGATGGCTATGAAATTAATAGTTCAGCTGCCATCTCTGGCGGTGATTTAGCAGAAACAGATGCTCTGTTAAACTTTGATGGTGACACAATGGATAGATCTTGTTATGATAGTGTGAATTCACTTTTGCTGAATTCTCCTAATGATGTTCAGGAAGATGATACGTCGAAGACTAAAGAACCTGAGATATTAGTGTCAGATACCTGTCCTGGTATATCAGAAGCTTCCTATCCTGCAAAGTTGGATGAAATTCCTGACCAACAGCAGTCACATTCTGGGCTTGGTGAACAGCTAGGTACTTGTTGTCCGGAAATCAATTTGCCTTCATCTACATCCATATCAAATCCTCATGCTTCTGAACTTCATGATGAAGTGATTTGCTGCATGGTGAACAGTGAGGACCCTGAAATCCCATGCAACGATGATGTTCTCTTAGGTAAAGCTTTTGCTTTATCTATAACGCAAAAGTGTCATAAAGAGGGTAGTGAACAGGCTTCATCCTTTGCAAATCAAGAGGATGGTAAAGAAGAATTGAGCTTGATGGAGACAGAAGATAATCTTACTCAATCTTTTACTGCTCCCAAGATGGTAGGACTGGACATTTTGTCAGAATCTAGTCAAGGTGTCAAATCTGAGTTTCATGATGGTCATTGTCATTTGATTTCCAGACAGGCTCAAAATTCCCTGGTCAATCCATGTAGGTTTAAAGCAGCACAAGCCTTTTCCAATTCTGCCAAGGATGGTGCAGCAAAGGAAGAGCCATCAGATGAATGCAATACCAAAGATATGCCAATATATGCAGGAACGAGTTCCGTTGTAGATACTGTTTTGGAACCTGAAGCAAACCTGACAACATCTGATAAGATAGAATATGATAGCGATGATGATGTTCCTAGCTTTTCTGATATTGAAGCCATGGTAAATCTTGACAATTATGTTCATGAGAAGGATGTTCTTTTTTGTTGTCGTCATCTATTTTTATTATATCTGGTGTTTAAATAACAATCTTTTGATGCTTACTTCAGATACTTGAAATGGATTTATGTCCAGATGAGTCTGATTCTTTAACTAATAGAGAAGGTATGAAGTTCAACTTGCACTAACGATGGTTTAGCTATGGTTTAACCAATCAATATGAGAATGAAAATTAATCTGTGTACTATTTACTTTAAAGACTGTCTGCACATGTTGATTTTGTTTTCTTGATATTCCTAGTCTCGTGGTATCAAGATGAGCATGCTAAGAGGACAATCATTAGGTTGGAGCAGTGTGCTCGGTCTGCTATGCAAAGAGCTATTGCATCTCAAGGAGCACTCGCTGTCTTCTATGGTCGTCATATGAAACATTACATTAAAGAAACCGAGGTACTCAATTTTAGCTAATCTTAATCTTTTTATTGTATTAACTGCTTTTACACTTCATTATGCTGACAATCAACTCATTCCTTTCCTTTTCTGGAAAAAGTTTTCATGATATGGTTGGGAATGGTACTTAATGGATTTTTCTCTTCTCAATTTCTTTGCCTAAAGTTTTTGTTGTTTCCTATTCTTTTTGGAGCTGTAATTTTTGGTTATATTCATGATATGGTTGGGAATGGTACTTAATGGACTTTTATCTTCTCAATTCCTTTGCCTAAACTCTTTGTTGTTTCCTTTTCTTTTTGTAGCTGTAATTTTTGGTTAGATAAGTAGTGCTTATGTGTGTTTTTCTTTCTAGTTTCAATGCACAAATTTGTAGCAAGTTTGTACATCATTGAAATTATAGGTGGAGCTTTATGTGTATTGATTTTGTAGTGCCTAGTTACGCACTGATTTCTTGGTTTGTGACATTCAAGATTGTTCTCATGTTTCTAGTTCAAACTGTCCCTGCTTTGCAGGTCATACTTGGCAGGGCAACCGTGGATGTTGATGTTGATATTGACTTAGGAAGAGAAGGCCATGCTAACAAGATATCTAGACGACAGGTGGGATATTTTGATTTCCTTGAACAATTTCGCATTTTTCTGTTTGTTTGTCTTATGGCCAGTATTCAGAGGATGTGGGGGAACTCGAACCTTGAATCTGCAACTTTCCACCCCTCAAGGTATAGGTATCTGGCCACCTTGCTACAAGGCTTTGTGGTCAGTTATTTTGGATATTTGCATTTGTTAGTTGCAAATATTTCCCCTCCCTCTTTTGAGAACGTATCCTACAAAAATTTGAGCTTTGAGTTACATTATGCCATGAACATGGTCAAGGTAGGTTATATGTTTTGATGAGGTCAATCATTTAAGCAGTCATGCTGATCAAAATACTTGGAGAGAGAGAAAGAGAGAGAGTGTGATGAGAACAAACAACTCATTACCAAGTTACTGTTACTACAGAAGTGGAAGGCCACTAGAATCTTACAAGCACTCTTCCATCTCTTTTAAGAATGGATGGTATTGGATGATCCTTGTGCCCTTCTGTGTTGAATCATATAATCGGAATTGGGTTTATTAGTGGAAATTTTTTGAATTAAATCCATTGTTAAAATACAAAGAGCCATACTTTAAGGCAGTTTCTTAAAATCAAAATTAGAAACATCATCTGCTTACGTTACTGGCTTTGGACACCTTAGTTAGCTTCTTGAGCTTGTTCTTTTATTCTGAATTATAATCATGCATGCTTTCTAGATTATGTTAGGCACTTGTGAAAAGATGGTACTCTTCAATAATTATTGATTATACCTAACTTGTTTAGCTTTTCAGATATCCTTTTTAGATTTTTTTGCTCCTATACTGCTTGCAGATTTACATGGGAATAATTATTCTCATCATTTCTGCTAGGCAATTATAAAAATGGAGGAAGATGGTTCATTCTCTTTGAAGAATCTGGGCAAGAGTTCAATATTTTTAAATGGGAAAGAAGTTTGTACGGGACAGCTGATGGGTCTTGGTTCAAGTAGTTTGATTGAGGTAGTTGTCTTTGTATTTGAAATGGCTGATAACCTTGTGAGCCCTTTCCAATTCCATGCTATTTCATTTGTCCTGCTTTTTTGCACTATTGAATTCTATATGGCGATTATATGGCTTGCCGATTGCACCTGTATGTTATACAGTGACGGCACTAATTGACCTTTTCATTTTCTTGCAGATTAGGGACATGGCTTTTGTCTTTGAAATAAACCAAAATTCTGTTAAGCGTTATCTGGCAAATATCACCCAGAAAAACCAAGAAAAGAAAAGAGCTTTTGACCATTTGGAAGAGCGGAAGAGGGTACTGGATGAATAGCGAGATTTGCTTATGTGTACCTTTTAAAACACCCTACCTTCCTTCTGCAAATTCATTTTGTATAATTAAAATAGTGTTCAGGGCTTACCCTAAATGGTAGGAGCATGCAGATAACATAGCATGTTCTACTGTTTTATACAACGGCCGTATGTATAGACACATCTCGAAAAAAATATATAAAAATAGTACTAGTTGATTCTCACTTACGGAGGAGGAGAAAAGAAGCTAATTGATTATGTAATTATAGCTGGTTCTCTTCTCATCACCCTCCATCTTGTTCCTCCCTTCGCTGAAACAGAAATTGATGTTTCTCAAAGTGGGCAAAACATGTGTTTAGCTTTAGCCATTCATTAGCTTGTTATAGGTATTAAGATTGCCTCTTCCTATATATATATGGCCAGGGCCCTTTCTCGTTAGAATCCTGGTCCAGCACCAGCTATTCCTTGCCGCCTTCTTCTCTAAATTTTTATATGGCGTTGCTTCGAAGTTTTCATGCTCCAAGTTGAACCAAAATTACTCGTTACTGACTTATTGAAGCAAACCAGAACCAGCACTAACAATAATATTAAAAAATGGGACCCTAAATCAAGAAAGTAAGATCATGCAGGAAAGCAGCCTAGTAATCAAGGTTTTCGTTTAAAAAACAATCTGCGAAAAGCGTCAGCTGTACCTGATTGAGAGAATCTACATTCTGGATATGGCAATGTCTTTTCCAAAAGCCTTTTGTTGAAATTACAAGTCTTCGTTATCTATAATCAATATGCATAATGCAACCACTAACTTTAACTCAGTGAACCAGACTCCCCTTAAACCACCCACCAACCAAAAGTCTTGTGACAGAAAGCATCAAGGAGATGCTCTATGGGTTGGCACTTTGCATTTGACTCCATAGACTAACAGCCAGTAATCAACTAATCTTTTTCTCTTTTTAATTGTGATGATCAGCCTAATCTTTTTTTCTAGTGTTATCAACATTACTAGAAACTTGTTTAGTTGTTTGTGATTTTCTGTTTTCAAGTAGGCAGCATTTCCTTTCAATTAAAGGCATTGGGGCAAGCCAAAATTTTGGTTGGGGAAGAGGACAGGAATCATTCCCTTGCAAAGCAGTGCCCCCATGTTAAGCTAAAGTGAAACAGCAGTTCAGTACAAAAGTTATTACACATTAAATTCTAAAGGGTAATGATGAATCTGCAAGTTCCATTTCAACTCTCACGGGCCATGTTTTTTCCACTAACTTTTGTAAAATTGATAATCTTTTAATGCAAACTAGAAGTGATGTTTCTGCCAAAAGAAATGTTCATATTTGTGTACTTGGTTACACAGCAAGCAATGAATAAAGGTTTGAGATCAAATTTCAGATATGTCATAGAATGATTTCTCTATTTGCTAGAGTCTCATGTTTTTATTTGTTCACGTTACCATATATGAATGTTATCAAATATTTTTGTAAAAAAACAAAGCTTCATTTAAAGTGATTCTCTTTGTAACAATCAAACCCATATACATATATATATATATATATATATATTAATTTCTTTCATTATTTTCTATCAAACTTTTTTTTTTTTTTTTTATAATGTGGTGAGTAATATAAGAATGTTACAATCATATGTATTATATTATAATATATAAAGATGTCTGATAAGATTTGTATATGAATGTTTAGATGGATATTTCCTTTTTTCAATACATAGACAGTACCTATTATATATGATTCAAATTTAAATATCAAAATTTTTAAAAATAAATTATTTATGGTTAATTCTCTATGGTTTTTTTTCAAAAAAAAAAAAATCAAATAAGTTGTAATAAAAATATAAAACTTAAAGAAATTAATCTTATTTGATTAAGATTTCACCTTGATATGTCTCTTTTTAAATTTAAAATTTACGAATGGATATTTTTACTTTGGTAACTTTCTTTATAATCATTTAATCTTTAATTTTTTAAATTCAAAAATACCAATATCACTTAATATATTTTTTTAAGTTCAAAAGATATTTATCATTAATCTAAAGTTTAAACATCCTAATTACCATCCAACATCTATAAATAGCATGAGGTACAGAGTTTTTTTTAATTCAATTTGTAATTTTTTTTAAAAAGATATTATTATTCTTATGATTTTGTTTTTATAAAAAATAATATCTATATTTAATTATTTTTCTTTTGACACACATTACTACTTTTTTATTTTCATATTTTTTTCGAAACTTTCTTTAAAATCACATAATGAAGGTATGTAAATATTATGAGCTAATTTATTATTCAATTATGTATATTTTTATTTTTAAAAGACAATAATATTTTTATATTCTCATTCTTTTTAATATTTAGATGATAATTATAATAATGAAGGTATGTCAAAATTTTTTATGATTTAATTAAATTTTTATTCAATTACTTTGAAGGAAAGAAATTGGCATGATAATATACTTTTTATATAATGCAATTGTCGTTCGAGGTTAAAATTTATTTAATGTTAAAACTCACTTATTCTCTTTCATTTCTTAATTTTTTTCATTCCTATCATCACTTATTCTCTTTCTTTTCTTAATTTTTCATTCCTATCATAGTTTTTGTCTTATTATCTACTTATTGGCACAAAAATACATCTATAATCCAATAATTATATAAGGTTGAAATTTTAAGTAATGTGAAAACCCATTTATTTCCTTTTTTTTTCTCTATTTTTTTCATAGTTATAGTTGTTTCCTAACTCTCTTATGGTGTAGTCTATAACAAATATTGATTTAAATTTAAATTTATTTTTTAATTTAGATACATTTAAATTCATTTTTAGAGTTACAATTTTTTATTTGTACCATTTCATGTTCTTATATTTTAAAATACATCATCTTTTTGTTTTTTAGGTTAGTTTCTCTTTCTTTCTTGATTTAATTAGTAACTTTAATTATATTATATTGCTACTTTAATAAATTTTATCAGATATTGTTTAAATCTTGATATATTTTTTATGAAAAAATATCTTGATCTATTGGTTAATTGCCTATTATTAAGTTATTTTCAAATATCAACAAAAAAAGTTCGTATACAAGTTCAGGACTTTAAAATTATTGAGAGTTTTTTTAATGTCAAAATCATTAAAGGGGCATTTGGTTTGGAGAATCCACACATTTTCTCTCAAAATCTTACTGTTGGATATTTAATTCCAACATTTTATTTGAGGTAATCTGATTCTGAGAAAAACTGACAAATTTTCAACAATATCCAAAGTCCCGGAATCAAAAACTCACTTCTCTATGTGATATTTTAAGATTTCAAGAGAAAAGTAGCATTATTTTCAAATTTGGCCTAACTAAAAAATTAGGAAATAACTATAACCATTTTGAAAATCATGTCTAGAAATAAATGCAACTCAGTTGTAAATTTTTGCTAGTAAAAAATTTGGTTTATATATGACGTTTGGTGTGAAAAATGCCTTCAATAATCTCTTACAAAAAATTGAATGGTTATTCAATGTGTTTTTTTATTAAAAACGCCTTGAATAATCTTTAAAAATTTTTATAATGAGATTATTGAATACGTTTTTGGCCAGAAATGTCTTAAATAATCTTTTACAAAAATTTAATTGAGTTATTCAAGGTGTTTCTAGCCAAAAATACCTTGAATAATCCTTTAATTTTTTATTGGAGATTATTCAAGGTATTTTTGCCTAGAAAACACCTTGAATAATCCATTATAAAAAATTTAATGGGGTTATTGAATGCATTTTCTAGCCAAAAAAGCCTTCAATAATCTCTTTTAATTTTAATAAGGTGATTATTCAAGGTGTTTTTGACCAAAAATGCCTTGAATAATTTCATTCAATTTTTTATTAGGGATTATTCAAGGCATTTTTACCTAAAAAATTTCATGAATAATCCTTTACAAAAAATTGAAAGGAGTTATTCAAAGCGTTTTTGGTTAAAAACACCTTCAATAATCCCCTCCCCATTTCAATTTATATAAGGGGATTATTTAAGGCATTTTTACCCAAAAAAACACTTTGAATAATCCCTTACAAAAATTGAATAGAAGCTATTTAGGTGTTTCTGGCTAAAAACACCTTAAATGATCATTATTTAAAAACTATTATTTTTTATTTTCATAGATCAGAGTGTTGTGACATGATCTTTCTTTAAATACACTTATAAATAAATGATTAAGGTGTTTGTATGGAAAAATGCCTCAATTGGTTATCAGTTAAGGCGTTTCTTCCTACAATTGCCTTTAATATTCTCATATTAAAATTTTGTTTTCCCTCTCGATGATCATGTTCTGACAATATGAATGTTCTAACGTCTAATCGTGAAGTAGAAGAGATTATTAAAAAAAATATGATGTTTGTATATATGAAACGCCTTATTCCATGTCTTCTTCATGATTCAATTACAAATATAATTAAAATTTATATTTCAACAGATCTCAACTCATAGTATTTACTTT